TGGTCTATTTTTGGTTTTGTGTTGTGGGTTTTCTTCTGTTTGACTGATAGAATATGATATAATTTGGGTTACAGCAGGAGATGGGCTTGAGTTACTGATTATGCAATGAGATGCCACCTTCCTTCCTAACTGCTGCTACCCCTTGTGCCACATTTATTAGTGAATGGTTAGTAATTACCTAGAGTATGGCTTTTAGGGGTGTGAGTAACATGCGGCTTTTACTCTGCTACTAATGGTGCCAGAATGGCTCCACTTACCAAAATGCATGCACCTGGTGGGTGATGCCTTCAGATGACCAATTTACTTAAATTGCTCTAATTGCTGTGACATATTAAATACAATCCAAGGGCTCAGATCATGAGGTCCATCTGTTGTATATCAGAACTATTTTTTTAATCAGGCAGATCTGTTTGTTTTTCACCATCTCGCCTGCTGGGTTTGCCCCACTTTTATTTTATGCCAGCTCTGAGGACTGTGAAGAGCAGTATGGAATAGAAAAGGGAAGCTGAATCCTGCTTTGCCATCATATTGTGCAGCAGCAAGCAATCATCATCCCAATTCCAGTGGCAATGACACAGCTGCGACAACTTCTCCAGTGTAGCAGGGTGTGTTGGATATAACAGCCAGTCTCACTTCTCCTCTGCTGTTTTGCTCCTCAGCTGACTCAGGAGGTGTCTTCCACTTGCTCTTCAGCTTTCATTGCTCTATGGAGTCAGGCTAGGGAAAAAGAGGGAGGCACACAGCAAAGCTGGAGAGGGAAGAGTTTACTGCAGCTCTTTCTCCTGACAGCATAGGTCTCTTTGGGCCTAGACAGGGAAATTGACAATGGCAGTCTAAAGAGTTTCATTGCTGCTAAAGAGCCTACATACTCTGCTGTAATCGCAGGCTTACCACACCACAGGATTGGAGGCACTGCTGGAGGTTGCTAGTCCAACCCCATACTCAGAGCAGGGTCACTTTGAACAGGTTTCTCGGGGTTGTGTCCAGTTGGCTTTTTTAGTATCTCTAAGGATGGAGACCCCACAACTCCTCTGGGCAACCTGCTCCAGTGTTTGAACACCCTCACAGAGAAAAAGGTTTTCCTTATGTTTAATAGGAGTTTCCTGTTCAACAGGAGTTTGTGTCCGTTGCTTCTGTCATTGGATACCACCACTGAGAAGAGTCTGACTGTCTTCACTCACCTCATCGAATACCCCCATGGGCCTTCTCCAAGGTAAACAGTCCCACCTCCTTCCGCCGCTCCTTGTATGAGAGATGCTCCAGCCCATTCATCATCCTTGTGGCCCTTTTCTGCACTTGCTCCAGTCTGTACCGCCTCTTGTATTGGTGAGCCCAGTTCTGAACCCAGCACTCTAATCATGTATTGCCAGGGCTGAGCACGGGGAAAGGATCAGCCCTTGACCTGCTGTTAAGACTGCTCCTAATGCAGCCCACGAGGCTGTTGGCCTTGTTGGCCATGATGGCAGATTGCTACGTCATGGTCAGCTTGGTGTTCACCAGGACCTGCAGGTCCTTCCCTGCCCAGCTGCTTTCCAGCTGGGTGGCCCCCAGCATGCACTGGTGCCTGAGGCTGTTCCTCCCCAAGCGCAGTACTTTGCATTTCCCTTTATTAAACTTCATGAGTTTCCTGTTGGCCTTTTTCTCCAACCTATTGAGGGCCCTCTGACTGGTGGCACAGCCCTCTGGTGTATCAATATGCACATGCTACCCTGAGAACGTTCCTGCTACCCTTGCCATTTGGCTTCTTTCAGCTCTGCCAAATTCCTCCACTTCCCTCAGCAGCTGTTTTCCAGTTACTCCATTAGTCCCAGCATCTCTAATCTGCAGGTCCTCCCCACCATCAGAGACACCCAAAGTCCAGCATCACCCCTCCTTCTCCTTCGTGCTGTCTCAACACAGCTGACAGCCATTCTTAACCCCTATGGTTCTGCTCCCCTCAAGCTCCGTAACTAACTTGTATTCAGTACACAGTAGCTTTATATATAATAGTGCATATATAAATATGGTTACATATGGTTTAGGAATCAGGCCAAAGGAAAAAGAAATAGTCCAATGTCCATATGCTGGAGGTAGTTTCTGTCATCCCATTAGATCTTAATTTCCTTCTGTGGCAGCCAAATTCTAACCAAAGTTCTTTACTTCCGTTTTTAGGGGATGAAACTTTGCCTTGAACTAACTGGCTTGGTGCTACTTACATGTCCCTCCTGGCTTGGAGTGTCCCATCAGGAACCAGCTGAAGAACATGATGAAATACATGAGTTATCCAAGCTCGAAGAACTGACAGGCAAGAACTAGCACGCCAGCTTAGCTAAGGAAGGGCTACTTGTATGGCTAGTCCAATCCCACTGGTGTCAGTGAGAACCTGGCCAGTTTTCATTAGCATGACAGTTGGTTAATTTTTCTTGATGTTGCATTGGTGCCAGGAAGGCTGTGAGGAAGTTGGTGCATTGGTAGTGATGGATCTCACTCACTTCTAAGTCCTGTGAGCCTGCCAGGAGATTCTACCCCACAGTAAGAAAACCATATGCATTTCTTTTGCTGAAGAATTACATCCTAAACAACTTCACAACACTTCTGCAAGGTTATGTGTCTTTTATTTGTATTTGGATTTCATCACTTCATCCACTAGGATTGATTTGAAAAGTAATCTTTCCTTTTCTTTTAATAAGTACAACAGTTAGTGTTGGTCTCTCTGCCCATGCAGTTGAACCACCATTTAATAGCAAACAGAACTAAAAGAGCCTAAGACACATCTGACATCATTAAAAAAAATTAACATACCAAACAGCACTGATGCATGGAGGAGGAAAAGGAATCAACCACTTATTTCTTAGAAAGATGCATCCCCCTTAAAAATTATCAAAATAAAAAAATGTATTCTGTGGGGAAGAGCAGGCACTGATATATGCATGCACTGATACTTCCATATCCATATCCCCACCAAATGTGTGTGTGTGTGTATATATATGTGTGCACACACATGCACGCACATGTATGTATTAGACTGGAGAAGTAATTTGTTTTTTCCCTGGGAGAATATTACTATAAGTCTTTATTATATTATATCTGTCTTTAAAATAGGAAAACTTATTAAAACAGAAAAGAAACAACTCCTTTAATACCTCCAATGTATTTGGCTAAACCTTGAAGAACACTGCCTCTCTATTTAGCAAGAAATACATGAAAAATCAAGGTTGATCATTTTAGATTTAAAAGTATACCACTACCAGGTTCTTATTACTGATTTGGCTTGCTTTGCCCTTGGAATAGACTCCATAATTATTAAAAATGTCTTTAGTTTCTTCCAATATCTAGGAAAAAATGTCTAAACACTGACCACTTGTCTGTACTGGGTGCCCCAGTGTTATCCCCTTTCTAAAGCACTTAGAGCATGTTATATAATAGTGAGCATATTAGTGTGTTTTATACATAGTGCATCCTGTTTTGCAGTGCTTGCAGGTACCTCCTGCTCTCTTGCTTCTGCTCTTCTGAAGAGATAATGCAAAGCCAACCCTTGGCGGTCTCTCCTCAGAGGGTGTAGTTGAGGCGTATCCTTTCTGGAGGTACAGAGAGAGGTGAGAAAGCTACTTTTTGCAAGAACATCGCCCCTGGGAAAGCGTAAAGAAGATCAAAAGGCAGAAGGCCAGCTCTGAGACTTCACTTCCAGAAAATGTAAGAAACCTGAAGAACATGCAGAAAAGGTAAAAAGCAAAAGGAAGGAATGGCTTTTTGTGAGAGGGCTCCAGAATTGGTAATTTATTCAACCCAAAGTACAAAGGTGCTAAAAGACCATTTTAGTCTATTGTTAATAGAGACACATAATAGTGGCTCCCCAAGGGTACCGTTCTCTGTGTCCTCTCCAGAGAGGCCCAGTGAATTTTCTTGCACATGATCGCTGGGACAATGTTCACCCCTTAGGTTTCTGCATGTCTTGAGTAGCTGTCTGTAGGTCCCCATAGAGTTACACATTAACTGTTTTCTTCCCCTTTCCCTGCCTTGTTCTTAATGAATCCATTGGTCAGGAGAATCAAATACCTTGTCTGGTATAAGTTTTGCTGCATAGTGCTTGAGTGCTTGGGGAAAACTCAAGTTTTCCTAAGTACCCAACTTCTCTCAAATCTGATGGAAATCATCAATTTCACTCCTGTGTATCAGTAAAAAAAAACCCCTTTGATAGACCCTTCATAAAACCTAAGGGAGGTTATGTTAAGATTTGTTTCATGTTACATTTGTCACTTCAATGACACTAGTCTATGTTCACACTAAGTAGAAGTTCATTACAAAATCCGTTATTACAGAGAAATGAAAGCTATTAAGTCTTTAATTGCTGAAGGCAATTTTGGTATCACAGGATCCTTTCACACTCTGAAGTAAAGCTGCCTGTGGTCTCAGTCAGCTGAAGTGATCCGTCTCATAGTGCCTTGAAACTTAACACTTAACAGCATCTCTTAAGATAAGTACCAGACTAAAAAAAATTGGTTTTTAGGCAAGAAAAACAAGACCTGATTGAAAGACTAGAAAGGTGATTAAAAAAACCCAAAACAACAAACCCAAACAACCCCTTCCCCACCAAATCCCAGAACCATATGAAATGCTGGAATGATTAGGAATATACATAATTGGTAAGATCACATAGAAAGTTTTTCTCAGTAGGTGAAATGGGTGCCTCTGCATACAATCACGTTTAAACTCAGTTCTCATTACATATCCTGAGGAATCACATAAACCAGGACCCGCAATTAACAACAAAACCACGATTCTGTCCAGATATGACCCAAGCAAATTACTGATGAAGCTGGAATCCTTGAGCACAATATCCAAGAGGACGCTGCCCCTCTCCTATGGGAAGGTATAATATGACACTTTGATGTAGTGATGCCACGTTCCAGACATTATTCTTACTGGGATATCAAATACCAGGCACAGGAAAAGGAGAAATGGCCCATAGCCTGAGATGGCTGGGCTGTGGCTGAATATCTCTGCAGTGGAAGCAAGAGTACCTGTTGCGAGATATTCAGCCGAAGGCCAAGCCCTGCCAGCTGGACGAAGTTTATTTCATCACCTAGCAAATTCCATGTTCTTCCCAGCAGAATAAGCAACCAAACCAAGTACATTTTGCACTTCTTTGTGGCTGGTTCAGCTCCTGGGTTGTAATAGGTTTTTCCCATTACAGGAATTGTGGCCAGGTCAAAAACAAATCCTCTAGGTTTCAACTCTGCATTTCCCTCCTTTGCTTCATACAGTGTGCTGTACTAGAAAAGGAAACACAAGAGTTTATGAAAAACAGTTTTAGAGAAAGGAAAATACTCCAACAGGCAAGTTTCGCATTCACAAAAAGGTTATTCAAAAATAATTCAAAGTAAATGGGAACAAATTCTTCATCTTCAGACTGAGCTACAGTGAATAGACTTAAACAGCGTATGTTAAGTAATGTAATACAATGAAGAATAAATTATTTTATGTATAAAATACCATGTTTTTCAATATATGTAGTGACTTTGATTTTTATGCACAAAATTCCACGCATTTGCATCTTCATGTTAATCTTTAAAATATAGCACTGCAGTACTGCTCAAATGGCAACTGACCACAGTGAAATTCAAGAGCACTGTATCGGCTACAGCTCCATCTCTAACAGTGCAACAGCCCAGTCACTTTGGAGGAGTACAGGAAACCCTTTTGTATGCAAATGATGTTGTAATTCCAGGCAATTGTGATCCACACATACCATGTACCTTCTTCCAAAGATGTAACATTTCTCATCTCCTTTAAAATAAGGCAACTAAGCTCAGCATTAGCTGTGGCAATGAATTCCACATATAACAAGCTAGTTATATCCTGCAAAAGTGCTGGCAGGCCAGAAATTATCTGTGTGTGCATTCTAATCCCCAAAGAATTAACCTGATTGCAAAGACCACCGAAGGAGGTAGGAACATGTCAGTCCATCCCCTTGAAAGCAAAGAATAATGCTGCTTGCATAATTCTAAAGATGCAGAAAAGCCTCCACAAGTTACACTGAATGTTCACAGACAAAAGCCCTTTGTCACAGCAAGGACGTGATCACTAACATGTGCAAGCCCTATTTTAAGCAGGCAGGCAAGCAAACCAGAATGTACCACCACATGAGCTAGAAAAGGTTTGCTGTTATTGTTTAGTGTCTGCTACCCCTCTATTTTGAATGTTTCAATCACTGGATAGTCTACGAGATTTGCTTCTGATACTGTCTCAGAAGATGTAAACATACCTAACTCACTTGAGAAGGCAGCAACGGGGTTCAGCGCTTACTCAGGAAGGAGTAATCTTTCACAATAATACAAGGGTGCAAAATTCATTAGAAGGCACAGAATATATAGCTGTATTCCACTTAACTCCCATTTATTCAGCTGTATCTCTCTTGTGATCTCTCTGTTAACTATTGCTTTAGTTTTCTTTGTAGAAGAAAGCCTCTTAGCAGGACATATTTGGCATAGAAGACTTGATTTACTGCAATGGATCCTTCCAGGCTGTCCATACATATGTTAAATTGGACTGAGTACTGGAAAAAAATTTTGTGTTAGTCCAGTGTAGAAAGCAAGCTACACTGCTGGACACTGTTTAGATGCAACCGAGACCTTCACTTAGTCCCTCCTGCTCTAACCTTTATACTACTCACCTTTACTGTATATTCCTCCCAGTTATTAAAATTAAATTTCTTCTTCCCTGAAAAGATGAAACTTTAAAGGTGAATGAGAGGGATCCTTTTTCTAAGAGGATGGGAGGATATCAAGTTACATGACAGATTGGTGTACTTCAGAGGGTACTTCAGGAAAATGCTGACTATAGCTGCTTTTTATGTAACATAGAGATACGGAGCAGATTTGCTGTCAGTCACAGTATGAATTCAAAGGGAAGACTTCAACACTGCAGAGCTATATCTGGATTCCTACTCATCTAATTGAGATCAGGCTGTCCCATTGTCACCCAGTTATGAGCCACAATGAAGCACAAACTGCCTGATCAGCTGAAGGACAGGGCTGTGTTCCTGGAAACACCAGGCTTGCTAGCATTTGGGAATGGTGGCCAAGACTTAGGTGGCCTGGTGAAGGGTGGGGGGGCATTAAAGGCTAAAAGTCTTCTGTGATTCCAGACTGTCTTAATATTCTGCTGCACTTACAAAACAAAGCACATACGAAGAAACAAAAGAAAAAGGAAACAACATTGCAGCTAACAATACAGTTTCATTTCAAAACAACTAATCTGGAGGTCAGCCCAGGGACCTGAATTTCAGTAAAGCTTTAGCAGCAGGAGCACAGTCTGTCATCATTTGTGGCTGAAGAGGTTCTTGTCCCTAATGAAGGAGCTAGAACTAATATGAAATTGATTCTTCTTTGCCTCAATAATCCATGTCACTCAGATGAGCTTCCTAGCAGCATATTCAGTGTTAAGAACACTGACAGTGGTGGGAAGCGTTTGTGAAAGTAACTGTGGTTCCCAACTTTCCTGCTTTCATGGATTAACAAGCAGGGTCAGTCCATGGGGACTGTCACGTTCTTGAACTCTGCAGTAAGAAGGAAATTGGACCTTGCTTTTCTTCAGTGGGTAGCTTTTTAATGACACATCCTGGTTGTCATCTCTTTCTGTAAAACAAGAAGGGGAGATTAATAAGCAAATGGCATTTGTTGTAAAGCATGCACACACCTCTTCCCAGGTAACAATTCTGCATCTCTGCAAATTCACACGGTTTTATATGCCACCATGGTTCTGCTCCTCTCTGTCACTTTCAAGGACAATGAACATAACTGGCAATTAGCATGCAGCGTGTTGTCATTTTTGACAGCTTTAATACCCTACTAATTCCCTAGCCATGTCAGGTAAATGGTTTTGCATCCCCCAAAAAAGAAATACATCACCTGCAAAAGCAAGAAACCTTTTAATTTAATATAAGAAAAAGGATTCCAATCATTGCCATTGAACCTGCAGCCAACAGGAAATGTAGAGATACATTCTTTGTGTAGTTACTTCTGCCTACACGTGGACACAAAGGGCACACGGACACGAATGTTCTTTAACACTTGACCAGAGCTGAGGCATTTGTCTCTAGGTTGGGGTCTTGGAGCATTCATAGACTCCATTAGGAACTGATGTTTGGGATCCATGCAGGATTTAATTGCTCTGATTTACAGGCACTCTGATACAAACTCTCTGATAACTGTCTGCCCCAACTGTCTGCCCCATTCTATAAAACTCCTCGTATTTTTCAGCAGATTTTCTTCAAAGATGTATCAGACGGTCTGTCCAACAGCCGTCCACGTACATCGCATAAATGTGTGCCATTTGCTGCCAAGGCTGAAGGGTTGCCACATCTAAGGGTCATCATAGTTGTGCAGGTTGTCACTTTAGGTCCTCTTTCATAGTGTCTCCAGACTGTACAGTATTTCCCTTGGAAAATCCATTTATATTTACCAAGTTATCAGGAATTTCTAAAAATCTTCTTAGCTTGCTTGAATAATTTGTTATAATTAATAAGATCATTAGTATCTAACTTAAAGGGCTTCCTGACAGTCTTGTAACTGTATCTTACTCTGTGCTCAGCAGATCTTTTCTCCACCTAGAATCCTACGCAGAACTGTAGGACTTCTTTCCCCTTTCAGAGCTTTAATTAGTTTTCATTTCTTGTTGATTCATAAACTGTCTGGCATCACTTGTTATTTTGCTGTCATGCATGTAACAATGGAATATTGTCATTTGCAGCTGTTATAAAGACAATGGTAATTAGAATAATAATTTATACAGTAATGTGTGATCTCCACGGTGATCCATACAGTAATCTGAACTAGTAGTTGCTTTTCCTTTCCTTTCCTCCAATTTGTTGAAGGTGACAAAGGTGAATGTTCATGGAAAAATCTGTCTCTTTTTCTCCTTTTTTTTGGGGGGGG